CCTTTATCAGTGCATTCTGCTAATAATAGATATTTTTTTAGAATAAAGGAAAAGATGGGAAAAGAATGCTTCACAACTGTTTTTTTTTTTTTCTGAAACTAGTATTATATAGATACCCAAACAGAAAAGAACTTTATAAGAAAAGAATATTACAGGAAAATCATGCTCATAAATATAGTAATTAAAACCTTAAAATATTAGTAGTTCATCATTATCTTAAAAACCCATAATTGTATTTAAGCCACATATGTAATATATTAACATTCCAAAATTAGTTTTTGTAATTCACCACATTAAGGGGATGAAGAAGAAATATGACCATTTCAATAGATGTTTAAAAATTAGTTGAAAAATTAAACACTGAATTATGAACTACTTTTGGTAAACTGGGAATAAAAGGAAAATTTATTAACTTGATAAAGGATACCTACAAACATTCTATCATATGCATCAAATTTAAAGGTGAAATCTGAGAATTTTTCTTTGAAATAAAAAACATGACAAAGGTGTCCACTCTTACTGCTTCATTTTACTATTACATTTGTGGTCCCAGACAGTGCAATAGGATAAGAAAAAGAAATTTAAAAATAGTAAGATTAGAGTGGCATAAATAAGTCATTATTCACAGGATATGATTGTATATCTAGAAATCCTGTACAAAATCATTTATACATTATTAGAATTAATAAGTTTAACAAAATTGGTTAATTTTAAAAGCAGTTAAAACATCAATTAAAATCAGTTATTTTGATTTAAAAATGAATTATCTTTGTTGATTTTCCAGCTCTTTTAGTCTAAAAACATGCCCTGATTATGTCAGGCAACTAGGAAGAAGGATCTGCTCCATTTAGGTCAGTTGATTTTGGAGAGCTACATAAATGCTATCTCCCCATGTTTTGAGGGTACCTGGTATGTCAGACGTTAAAGAATCTGCCTTCAATGCAGAAGACCTGGGTTCGGTCCGTGGATTGGAGAGATCCCCTGGAGAAGGAGATGGGAATTCACTCCAGTTTTCTTGCCTGGAGAATTCCATGGACAGAAGCCTGGAAGACTACAGTCCATGGGGTTGCAAAGAGTCGGACATGACTGAGTGACTAACACTTTAACTTATTTTCTTTTTTCCCCATGTTTTCTTCCAATTAATCTTTTCTCCATTCATTCAACATTTTTTTTTAAAATGCCTATTATATACTAGGCCCTATCTTTGCCTTTGCATTGGTTACAACAAAATAAGAGTATGGGCCTGGTGCACTGGGAAGACCCAGAGGAATCAGGTGGAGAGGGAGGTGGGAGGGGGGATCGGGATGGGGAATACATGTAAATCCATGGCTGATTCATGTCAATGTATGACCAAAACCACTACAATATTGTAAAGTAATTAGCCTCCAACTAATAAAAATAAATGAAAAAAAAAACATAAAAAAAAGTATGACACACATGGCTGATTATAATATGTGTGTTGAGTAAACCAGAGTATTTGTGTATATCAGAGGATTTTAGAAAAGAGTTCAGAGCAGGCAGTGTTTGTGTTAGTCCTTGAATGCTTTAGTAAGGTTTCAGTTCAAAGAAGGATGGGGAAAATAAAATTCAGAGGGAATAGAATAAATAAAGGTGTAAGAGTGTAAAAATACTTGGTATATTTGGGAAATGTAATATAAAAGCTAAGATTAGTTCAAAGAAGGATGGGGAAAATAAAATTCAGAGGGAACAGAATAAATAAAGGTATGAGAGTGTAAAAATACTTGGCATATTTGAGAAGCGTAATATAAAACTAAGACTAGTTAGTAGATTGTTTGCTTGATTGATGTGTGCACCTATCCTCACATACCTGTTATATTTTGCAAAATCTGATTAGCCTTTTTTTCTGTTCTTTTCTGAATCATGAAAATAATAGAGATGATTTCCTTGTCTCTTAAGTACAAAGTAAGTTTTGGGCTTCTCCAAGGATACCCTTGCCTATTTCCATTAGTGCATCTTCCATTAGTGCCAGCTAAAATGATTTTTTGTATTTTAAATGACCTAGTTCAAAAGAATCTGAAAATTATTTATTTGCAACATGATAATGGCCACAACTTTTATGGTGCATTAAAATAGCTGTAGTACTTAGAAATTATATGGTATGTGCAACTTAACAAACATCTGAATTGTATTAATACAGTATTGTAACTTTCTGTAAAAGATGTAGAAAAATAAATATCCCTGTACTGACTGAAAAGCTATATAAAGAATTGCTGTAATGATTGCATTTAAGCTTTAGATACAGGAACTCTTAAACGAGAGCTTCAAAGGTCAAGAAGTTGTGTTAAAATCATCTAGTATATCTTACAACTATTATTACTTGATGGAATTGTGCAACAAAGATGGCAGGATAGGTGTGTGATATTTCCTACATCTGCATCTGTTTTATCTAGTATAAAACATGCAGAAGTTCTTGGGTTTGCATAAATGATTGCAATACTGCCTTATTTATCTTTTAATAGTTCTTACTAACATTGAATAGCCTCATTGCCAGTATTTTTGTGATGTATTATCAGCCAAACTAAATACATAATACAGCTTTACTGTATATTCTGTTTTCTCCAAATTTATAAAATATTACTATTTAATATTTTATTACAGCTGATTATTAGATTTTACTAATAATGACCAATACTCATAAATATTTATAAAATAGATGCTTTAGTCACATGTTTTAGTGCTTATAATTGTGAATTATTAAATCAGCAAACTCTTCTAGAGAAGATAACTCAATTCTGTGGTCCTCTAGACAAGGTTTTAATTTTATGAAAACAGAATCTGAATGTTGCTTGCCTTCTTGCCAACTGAGAGTATTACCCATTGCCTTCTCGGCAGAGCTGCTAGAGAAAAAATAAAGAACCTACATTGAGAACTCTGTCAATTCAACTCTGTCTATGTATATACATTCAAAATGAAACAAATTGGGCAATTTACTGAAGGTTAAATCCTCTAAATGACATTCACCTAAAACACGCAGGAAAACAGTTTGGGAGGCTTAAATTATCAATGTAATTGCCTTAATTCTCTAGGCTACTTTCATAAATAGACACAACTTTATCGTATCTAACTGACGATTCCAAATTGGAGGTTTAGGCTTGTTTGTATTTTTACTCTTAACACCCTGAATCACCTTTATTTTCTACATAAGCTAAGTCCTAAAAATAGCCCACAGACCTAAAGTGAGAGCATTCCAGAAATGAGGTTTTCGCATTAATGCTCTGCCCTGCAGCTTTCGTTCCAGTAGCTAGCGCCTTTCAGGTTGTCAGCATTTTCACCCTGAAGTTGCAGGAAAGCTTTTTTAAGAACCAAATATGCTGATACAACATTGTGCCTTTGTTCTTAAGTATTCGAACACAGAATGATATTTCAGAACGTTTTATTAAGAAAGTCTACCTGATTTCTATTAAAAAGTTTTCTCTAAGCCCCGAGACAGAAGTGAAAGGAAAGATTATTTATGAGCAAGGTAGCTCAACCCTGTCTAATTCTTGAATAAGAGTTTTCCAAGTAACCTTCCGTTTATGATTCAGGAGTTCCTCTGAGTTAAGAGGGTGTTACTACGTAGGGTAACATTTTTTTAAGATACTATCTGAAATACCAAATTTTTAAAAAATGATTTTTAACCAATTTTAAGTGTTTAAAACTGCAGTACATTTCACTGCCTGTGGGTTTTTTTTCCCCATCTTGCCAAACTATATTGCAAGTAAACCTTTTGATGTTTTAAAAGTTTTTCTTAGGCAGCTAAGAAAAACACCCTGGAAAGTTATATTTAGTGAATCTACCCACGTATAAATATCCCTGAGCTAGTCTGCTATCCTATGGCATCTGGAAGAAAGGTGCTATTGTTGTAGATTCCATGACTGAAGTATAGAATAATCAATTCAGAGAGACCCTGGGGGGAAGATTCACTCGCATATGCTGTGGAAACTTGGAATCCCGGAGCTTTTTATATTCTTTTTTTTTTCCCCCTACAGATGAAGGGATATAGATGAATTCATGGTTTAGCACAATGTCTAATGACATCATTTCCCATTCTTGCCTTATAATAGTTTGGTATATTTGAGACTACTAGCTTTAAATTTACCAAAAAATCTTTTTTGTGGTTGTCAGTCCCTTTTTTACTATTACTTTCCTTGCTTTCTGGGTCACAATAACTAGACAGCTATTTTGTTTGCAAGTGCTCTGGCTGTGCAGTTCGTCCGGCTCCACACCAAGCCATATCACCAAGGTATTCCCCAGGGATGCATCATCAGATTTAGTTCTGCCAGAACACTCCATAAATTATTTAAAGCTCTTCTTCATTTCTTGTGAAACAATGTTTGCTGAGCTTCCCCATGAAAAATCAGTGTTATTCCAGAAGATCAGGAATTTGTCCTGTGCTTCCACCAGTATCTACATAGGTGTAAATACAGTGGAAGCCTAATGAAAGTGTACAGTTATTTTATCTTTGGTAAAATATTTGAAATTTTTCTCTACTATGTATTCAATAGCAGTTAAACAAGAGCAGCTATGTCTCGTGGCTTTCTACTATGACATATCCAAACATAGAGTAGTTAGATGCAAAAACACTGCGGAAGTATGAATAATAGACTTCCCACCTTCTGTCTACTTCAGCTTCCCTGAGGTTTTGTCTGCAGGGCCCAGCTGCATGTACGCACATGGTGGAATTAGTTCTGTGAGTAACCTACAAAAATTACATAAGTAACTCGGATTTTTAAATATGACTAATACACAGACACGCACCTGCTTCAGGGACTTCATAGATTAGTTTTGTGACCAACAGAAGAGCCCCTTGGAATTTAATTATATTGCTGCAAAATGGAAAATGAAACTGGCTACACTTTTGGAACTGATATCAGAAAAATGTTAATTAGTTCTTGGAGCAAGCTTTTTTTTATTTTTAAGGTTGTTTCCGTTTGGTTTGCTTCTGTCAAACTTACAAAGTCATAATGTCCTGCTCATGTTATCATTTGCTGTCCTTACAGCTGGAGCCACTTGCAGAAGATGTCCTCCACCAAACTCCAAATATGAATGCCGTCATTTCTCTACAGAAGATCATTGAAATTCAAAGTATGTCTTCAAATTTTTTAATATTTCTAATGTACTTGTTAAGCATATATTGAGAATTGAGCACATGGAAAATATATTTGAGTTTTTCAAATATAAGGAACAGATATGAAGTAATTATAATTTGGACCTACTGTGTATTCATACCTAAATGTGTTATTGCCTTGCTTTTTACTGTGGCAATCTCGCACTGATAACAAAGTTGGAAGACTCTAGATTTAAAACCTTGCTTTTCTCATATTTTCCAAGAGTATTTGGATTTTTTTCCATTACTGCCACTAAGTATTTACACAGAGGAACTAAATTAACATGGAAATTGTGATTATATTGTCCAGCGTTAACTGAGGTAAGTTATCTCCTAATGATGTTGGAATTCACCAGTAATTTACTGGTTTTAAAGAAAAAGTTCATGAGAAAGCCTACCACGAAATCCAACTGAACAAAAAGGGAGAGTTAGAGATGTTTTTTTTTTTTTTACTATCCAGTTCCTTTCACATCAGTGTTAATTTATCAGGAATTTTTCTTTATAGATGATAGCATGCATGAGCTTGCTCACACACATGCATGTACACATACACATACTGAAAGCAGGCACAAATTAATATAGAAGTTAGCATGAACAGGAAAACAAAATGGCAAAATTAAATGTGAAGGAGGACTGGAAAATCCTTAGTTTTGCCACTGTTTTGTTGTTCAGTCATTTAGTCATGTCCAACTCTTTGCTACCCCATGGACTGCAAGACTTCAGGCTTCCCTGTCCTTCACCGTCTCTTGGAGTTTGCTCAAACTCGTGTCCATTGAGTTGGTGATGCCATTCAACCATCTTGTCCTCTTAGTTGTCCCCTTCTCCTCCTGCCTTCAATCTTTCCCACCACTTGGGTCTTTCACAATTAGTCAGCTCTTCATATCAAATGGCCAGAGTATTAGAGTTTCAGCTTCAGCATCAGTCCTTCTGGTGAATATTTAGGATTGATTTCCTTTAGGATTGAGTGGTTGGATCTCCTTGCAGTTCAAGGGACTCTCAAGAGTCTTCTCCAACACCATAGTTCAAAAGCATCAACTCTTCAACTCTTTTGTTGAAGTATTTTTTTTAAACACAGGTGGAGAAGCCACCTTCCATCTGTGTCTCTGAGTCTTTGTCTTTGCTTGCTCAGTAGTAATTTGGAGATATGGTTGTGACTGGCATGTTGTGTAATCCATTCATCTTGTGCTTATTCAGTGTAATCTAACACCTCACTAAGGTCATCAGTAGTAGAAAAATTATCTACTTTTTACACATAGATTCTTTTTTTCTATCTTTTTTCCTACCATTATACACACAGATTATTAAAAACCATTGTCCCTGTGTATATTATGTTCACATCACTTTCAATGAGCATTCTTAAGTACTTATTACATGTTGCTACATGAAAACTGGAGCACTTATCAAATCAAAGCACAGAATAGGAACAAGGAAGAATTTTTAGTATTAGGAAGTTTGCGTTCCAGTGAGTGAGAGGCTCTAAAATAGATCATTTTAGTAGAAGTCACAGCGTGCACTGAATCATGGGCAAGGAACAGTCCTTAAGCCCCTTTCAGCCAGAAGGAGAAGCCCTGGAAAGTGGGGAGGGTTCGAGGAAGACTCCTCGGCAGTGATAGGGCCTGGGCTTAGTCTTAAGGTCTGAAGAGGATTTTGGCCGGATGAAGAAACAGGGAATGTTCTGAAGGCAGTGACAGGAGCAGAGGGTTCAGTTTCACATAGGTGTAAAAACTCATGGTTTATATATGTCTTTAGAAACTACTGTTGGCTTTTGCATTGGATCTAACTCCCCGGTAATGACTTTGCCCTGCGTGATGTTTTTCCTTTCACCACTGACATTATTGTGTGGCTTGTGCAGTCTGCTTTAGCCAAACAAACCTTTTTGACTCTTGAAAAGAATTTACTGTACTATCAGATTTCTGTGTAAGAATTCTGCCCCTGTGGATTCTGAATCTGTGTCTTCTGCTCCAAAATGCTTTGCAAATATCCAACCCTGACCGCTTCCCCCATAAAAATCTCTTTACTCATATTGAGCATTCCACCCAGTTCAGTTCAGTGGCTCAGTCGTGTCCGACTCTTAGTGACCCCATGAACCGCAGCATGCCAGGCCTCCCTGTCCATCACCAACTCTCGGAGTTTACTCAAACCCATGTCCATTGAGTTGGTGATGCCATCCAACCATCTCATCCTCTGTCATTCCCTCTCCTCCTGCCTTCAATCTTTCCCAGCATCAGGGTCTTTTATAATGAGTCAGTTCTTCGCATCAGGTGGCCAAAGTATTGGAGCTTCAGCATCAGTCCTTCGAATGACTATTCAGGACTGAGAGCCCTTCTGGCCATGGGGTCCTTTGCAGCTGCCCAGGCTGCCTGTGTAGGAAGCTTGCCTTGAAGGTAGCCTTTGTTAAACAGGGCAGCCGTCTCTTCACTTGTCTCTGAGTGTCAAACAGGTGACTCCTTTTAACTTGAAGAGATGTTCGAATTTCTACTCACTTCCTATCCCAGGTTCGGAAGATTCTTTTGTGCTGGGGTTTGGGACTACAGTATCAGAAAAGCATATAAATGTGGAGAAGCAGGACTTGTAGCATGTGGGAAGCATTCAGGCAAGTTCCTCGATTGCCGTGTCCCAAGGCAGACAGCAAGGTGCTGACAGGCGTTATGTGGTTTTCTCTTTGAGAACTGAGCCCCCCAGCTGAGGGCATGCAGGTGCTGGAGGCTGTGATTAGCATTGGCCCTGTGCCTGGCCGCATGGATGTGAGTATTCTGCAGCACAGTCATCCCTGTTGTCCTGTGCTTGTTTGTACTACTTACTTAGCTGAGAAGAAAAGGCCTTACAAGGCAACAGCAGGGCAACTATTTCTCCTGACAGGTAAAGAACCAGCCCCAACCCCTGCTCCTGCCCCTGACAGGTAAGGGTCGGCTTCAGCTTAAGGTGGTGGGTGTACACAGAGATCAGCCAGCTCTGACGAGGGAGGTATGGTCAGGCAGTTTCATGTTTGCGCATGCTCTTCACTCTGCTCACCGCGCCTTCTGCCTTGTCCCTATGAAGTTTCCAAGACTTAGGGCAAACGTTATGTCTTTGGGACACCATCTTGAATCGCCATTCACCCCTGTTCTAGATTAGGCATATTTCCTGGGTGCTTCTCAGGGCAGAGATTGTTTTTGCTGATGTTCTTTGTTTTCAATTGCTGTATCCTCTGCTGTGCAGTGTCTGAAATGTAATAGGTGTTCTGCAAACATTTGTTGAATGAATGAGTCAGCTAATACATCAGTATTTGCCACACTTTTTTTTCCTTAGCCCAGACTGACTTTTTAACTAAGGTTATACTCCTTGGTTAGCTCAAACAGAACAAGGGATTAAGAAATGCAGGCAAAATATCCATGAGAGCCCACTTCTTTACACTCTTTCACAACCCACAGTGATGAGTCACTTCTAAGTTAGAAAGAACATGAATTACTTGTGAGCTAACCATTTCCATTGCTAAGCTTGGAGATGGCAGTTCTAAGAGTTGACCGGCCATCTGTAATCACCAACAAGCAATGCCAGGTAAAAAGTCAGCCCAGAGAAGGATAAAGGACTGTCACAGGTTTATATCCTTTCCTGAAATCCATCCTAACAACTTGCAGTCCGTTGAACTCTTACCATCTTCTAGATAATAAGGTGAGAAGCAAGATTCCCAGATAACATGTTTACAGCAGTCCTGGCTCATGATAACACTTTCACGGATGCTGAACTGAAAGGAAGAACCATGAAGTGAGTTTTCCATGAAACTAAATTTATATAGTTTGAAAGACTGTAATTTTGAGAAACATATAATGAATGATGTTGATACTGATCTGTGAAACCTCAAAATATGGAAACCACAAGTATACAGTCATGGTTTCCTTTTATTTATTTAAATATTTTAGAAAGAAGAGTACTCCTTTTAAGTGTCAACCAACTTTGTAGACCTCCTGCATGACCATAGTGGTAATCACAGTATCTTTTGATTTGTGGACCAAGAAAGTGTATATGTACACAAGGATTTGAGGATTCTTTGAAAATTTTGCTGCAGCCCTCCAGTGGTTTGCAGCTGACAAGTTGAAAAACACTATCAGGGGATTTTAAAATAATATGAATATCAGTATAACCCTCACCAGACATGTGACAAAGAGCTAGCCACTTAACTTTCCTAAGGGATTTCCAGAGAAATTACTTGTCACCACACTGCTTTTCTAAGGTGCTGCAAGGTGTCCAAAAAATGTCAAATCAGAAGCAGAGTCAGAGAAGAATGCTAAGAAGTTTTTCCCTTTTTCCCCACTTTCATCTCTCTCTCACTCTAGGAATTCTTCCCTTGTTTAGTAGATTGGGGTCTTAGAATTCCTTATTGTGCCAACCAAGCAAACTGATGACATAGGTCAGAATGAGGAAGGAACATTATTTGCAATGTCACCATATGATCTTGTCAGACTTGTTGTATATCAGTGGAGAAACAACATCCATGTCTCTTGCACATGATATTTGTCAGTATGGCTAAATTTAATCTGTATTTTTTAAACTCATACACAGGACACACAGCATTATTTATGGCAATGAGAATTGCATTTATGGTCTTCTGAATTTATACAACTTTTGAGACCAACATGAAAAGGGATATGATTTTCCCATTGTAGGACAATATACCGTGTAACTGTGTAATTGACTACAAGGTAGCTGGTTATCCTCATCGTTCAGGCAGCTGCAGTGGGCAGAGCACACTCTGTCGCCCATTCTAGAGAAATAAAAATGGAACAGAATTTTCTCTGGGAGATTAGAGGCTTGTGTAGTTGACACTGTATCCTGGTCAGAACCCTACCTAATTCACGTTTGTCTGTGTCACTGAGTGAGTCACTTCCTGCTCCTCTTTGTCCTGTCTGCGGCTCTTCTTTCCTTTTCCTTCTTCTCTTCCTCAACACATTCTTTCTCTCCTCCCCCTCTTCCTTAATCTGCTCCTCTGATATTATTATAT